ACTAGCGGTATGGCAATTCTTGAAAATGCCGGGACGAAGCGCCGGTAGTAGCCTATAGCTCCTATAAAACCTCTTACCTGCCTCACTGTCTTAGGCTCTGGCATTTCCCTTATGACCTTTACCTTATCCATGTCGGGTTTAATACCGTCTCCGTTTATGACGAAGCCTAAATACCTAGTTTCTTCCCTCAGAAACTGACACTTTGACAATTTCAATTTTAATCCGTGTTTCCTCAACCTTCCCAACACCTGTCTTAAATGAAAAAGTGTTGTTCCACTGTCTCCGAAAATATCAAGATATCGTCTAAATACGCCATGGCAAAAGCTCTCGTATCCTCCTAACACTATTGACATTAGCTGTTGGAAGACTCCCGGGGCATTAGCTAAACCGAATGGCATCACTCTGAACTGAAACAGTCCCAGGTGACACGCGAATGCGGCCTTCTCCTTGTCAGCCTCATCCAGGGCTACTTGCCAATACCCGGACCTCAAGTCCAACGTAGAGAAGTACTTTGCCTTCCCTAATAATGCCAAAATGTCGTCTATCAATGGCAATGGCACCGCCAACGGCTTCGATATAGAATTCAGCTTTCTAAAATCTACACAGAAACGGTGGCCGCCATCTTTCTTACCTACTATTACTATTGGGAAGCTCCAAGGAGAGATCGATCTTTCGATCATCCCAGCTTCCAACATTTCCTCTACTGCCTCTTCTACAAGGGGTCTTTTATGTATAGGTGTTCGGTAGGGTTTTAATTTCACAGGGGTGGTCTCCGGTGTCGATTTTCATTTCGACTGTGTGGGTCTGACCTAGTTCCTTATCTGACTGGGCTACCACATCTCGACTGTTCCTTAACAGACCCCCCCACTCTGGTTCTAAATTGATCCGGTGCTAATATATCCTCATCTAAGATTCCTTTTGTTTGCTCTACTAGCTTCCTTCGTTCCTCCTCGAATCTCACCCGATTCAGAGTTCGTAGGGGAAGTGCTCTCCTATCTTCTCCCTCTCCTAACCTTTATAGTCTTTTGGGCCTGGTTCACCATCATTATGGGCACCAACTCGGCTGCCTCCACTACCGTTTCCTGCATAGGGTTACCTCGTTATCTTCTAGGCCCTTTCCTTCTACAGGGACCAACTGCAGAGGTCCTCTCCGTACCTTTTTTTTGACATTAGCCTACCCTTTCTCGACACTGCGGTCCTAGGAGGTAACTTTACATCTTCCTCCACCACTATGGTTATCTCTTCCTCTGGTGGGCATCCCAATGGCGTTCTCTCGCCGTTCACCACCAACACAGTAGGATTAAACTCGATCTGGGCCTTTGGCTCCGGAGCCAATCTTCTCCCAAGATTGCCTCTGTACACAGGTCGGGGGTTACGTAAAAATTTTGGGTGCTTTTCACCCTCCCAATCCTCACCGGGAGCCTCACCATCCCTTTTATCTCCAGGGGGGGGCCCATCTGCTTGCGTGATCTCTATGTCCGCTTCCCGTAACCTTCTCTTCCGTTTCACCCGCCTGTATGTTTCCTCTCTCATCAATGACACAGATGCTCCTGTGTCCACCAAAGCCCTCATCTCTCTACCACCTATCTCTGCTCTACAGGATAGTTCTTTCTCCTGCGTTAGCGAAGAGAACACTTGAGCTTTCTTCTTCCTGGGTCCCCACCTTTGGGTTAACCCAGCCATAGGCGCCGGTAGTAATAAATCACCTTCATTTTTTTCATGAGGTGGAGTTCTGCGCCCCCCTGCACCTGGGCGACACCGGCCGGACCTCTCCCGGTCTCCCATGGCCGTTTCTAAAAAATACAGTTTCTTTTCAGGTGTCCTGGCCTCCTGCAAAACCAGCACCTTCTTGTTGGACAGCTTGCCGCAAAGTGGCCCGCCCGACCACATGTCCAACATTTTGCTCTTTCCCTTTTTAACTGGGTTGGCCTTGCATCTATTCTCAGGGGGAACCTGTCCTCTATTCAAGCGGTTCGCCCACCCACTGGTCCAAGTTTTTATTTCTCTTCCTTTTTAACTGGGCCACCCTCCCTCTTAATTCTGGGGTGGCCCGCTGGCTTTTCCCTGGGCCGGTCTCTTGGGCTCAGCCTTCTTTGTTAATATCGGTGGGGCACCCTTCCTCAGCCCGCACCACTTGGCCAGGTGTCCTTTCTTACCACACCTGGTGCATCTGTCCTGATTGAAGTCTGGGGGCAACCCCCCACTTCGTCGGACATTCCGCCGCCCTGTGGTCCTCGTACCCACAGGTCCAGCAGACCAGCCCGTATCGACCCGGCGTGGGCTTATAAAAGCCATGCCTGGTCGACCATGCCCTTCTATTGGGGTCCTCCTCCCATAATTCTGCCCGATCCACCTCTTCCTTAACCCTCTGATTCCACACGGGGTTCTTCCGCCTACCCCCTCCTCCAGCCTCCTGACTTGGTATCTGGTTCTTTCCACACCTCTTCACTTTATCCCACCCCCTGGCTCTCCCTGGCCAGCTCTATCGCTGCCGACAGTCTGAGCGGTCCTTCTTTCAATACGTCGTGACGAACACGCTCGTCGCTCAGCGCCTCTACATACAGGTCCGCCAGTTGAGCCTGCATAACCGCATTATCCCTGACCACTTCGGGGAATGCCAATGACGATAGCTTCCCCGCTCGGGCCCCCTAATTCTCCCGGGGTTTCATCCCGCAGCTGTGTTAGTTTTAAAAGGGCCCTCATGGCCTCTATGGCCGTACCTTCGTCGGCGAATTCTTTGGTCAGTAGTCTTTTTATTTCTTCCCAAGCCAAGCGGGGTTGGTTCTCCAAGAGCCCCCTCACGAACTCAGACGCTTTTCCCTTTGTGGCATCGTATGCCAAATACAGGGTTTCTTGGTCCGAGAGCTCGTAGATGGTTCGTTCTTCTCGAGGATTGCCAGCCAGTTTTTAAACTCCTTCCCGCTGCCATCAAATACTGGGACCCTCGGTCCACCCAACAGCTTCCTTAAATCCACTGACAACCCCCGCCCTACTTCTTCTTCACCCCCCACTGCTCTATCCGAATCATAATCCGACATGTCTACAGAGAAAGACAGTCTATACAGCAACAATCGAGGTTGGGAAACAAAACAAGGTGTCCTACCTTACAGATGATTCTGTTCTTTCTTTTCCTTTGGTCCCGGGTCGTTCTGAGTTCTGTCTGAATTTTCAGCAACGGCGGTCGATCGTGGTCTTCTCAGGGTTGAAATCCCTCGGTCACCACGGCACCATGTGACGTGGTTGTCTCAGGGTTGATCCGTTGGTCACGGCACCACATGTGACGTGGTTGTCTCAGGGTTGATCCTGGTCACGGCACCACTTGTGACGGTTACACACCTGGCCCAGGGTCGGATCCTTTGGTTACGGCGCCAACGGTGACGTCGCTCCTCCTGGGTCCAAGCGTGCCGCTCCAACCCCTTGGTCAGATGATCACCAGCCTCGCCTTTCCCGACTCGCTTCCAATACCTGGTCACTAAAGCAACTGTACCGATCTCCGGTCTGTCTACCCACGCTGTGTTTAGATCTTAGACAGACGGGACCAGCAGGGATTGGGGCCGATACAAGTTGAGTCCGACGGGGGTGGCAAAACACAAATAAAAGAGAAAATAAACTCACGAGACAAAAAGATTGCTGATGAAAAAAATGGGTAACAACCTTTTATATCTTAATGTCCGTTACATAAAAACAAAATTGTTCTCATTTCCCAACCCGCTCTGTGGACTATGGCACTTAAGCTTCTATCACACAACCTAAAGATTTCGAATTGCCTACTCTTTAGAATTGTGTATGTCGGAGTGTGGTTTGGTTCGACACTGGGGCTAATTTCTATCGATCATTCGCAGTTGATTCTTCTCTTCGACTAGAGTTGTATTTCTTCTTCTTCGTCGACTTAGGCTGGAAGTTCTCTTGTCTTCGACTTGGGTTGTATTTCTTCTTCGTCGACTTAGGCTGGAAGTTCTCTTGTCTTCGACTTGGGTTGTATTTCTTCTTCTTCGTCGACTTAGGCTGGAAGTTCTCTTGTCTTCGACTTGGGTTGTATTTCTTCTTCTTCGTCGACTTAGGCTGGAAGTTCTCTTGTCTTCGACTTGGGTTGTATTTCTTCTTCTTCGTCGACTTAGGCTGGAAGTTCTCTTGTCTTCGACTTGGGTTGTATTTCTTCTTCTTCGTCGACTTAGGCTGGAAGTTCTCTTGTCTTTCGACTTGGGTTGTATTTCTTCTTCGTCGACTTAGGCTGGAAGTTCTCTTGTCTTCGACTTGGGTTGTATTTCTTCTTCTTCGTCGACTTAGGCTGGAAGTTCTCTTGTCTTCGACTTGGGCTGGAAGGATCTCTTGCCGCAACTCAGCCGCAACTCTCTGTCGTCCGAGGTGATCTCTTCTCGCTGCCGTCCGGGGCTGAACTCTTCTGTCTTCGACTTGGGCTGAAGGATTTCTTGTCTGAGGATTCTCTTGCCCGCAAAGGGGCGAGTGAATCGGGCCCGATGCCCGCGTTCAGGCTCTTTCCCTGCCCGCGGTCCAGCTGCAACTCCACTCCAACTCTCCCCTCTTCCCTCTTCTTCCTCCTCCTCTCTTTCTCCCTCTCTTTCTTTCTCTTCTTCCCTTAGGATCGTCTAAGTACAATCTTAGTGAATTATTTTCAACTCAATTATTTTCCGTTTTAAAAAAAATCAACAACTTGTTTAGTAAACCGAGTAAGAAAAAATTAAATCATATTTCTATGAATATTTCTAATAATGCAAGGTGCCACACCAGTTCGACTATGCTGTAAACGCGGTACACATTCCCGAGACAACGAGGCGTGAACAGAGCGAAAAAAAGCGCGACAAATAAGGCATTGGCTGACCCGCAGGGAGAAGTGCCAACGGACGAGGAGACGGACACCTTCCCAACAACAACGGAGACGAACCCCCAGCCGAGAAAGGCGGAACAATCAGGACATTTGTTGGTTTCATCGCACGTTCGGCAATGAAGCCAGGAACTGCAGACCTCTCTGTAAGCACCCATCAGCTCGAGGAAACGAGTAAATCGGAGAGTGGCGACGACAGACTCATCCGGTAACAACGCACGATGTCGTCATACCATACAAGAATGACCCCTCCGCTAAGCCCACCCTGTTTAAACGGTTCCACAATACGGACGGAGAGAAGACACTCACCCTGAACATTGGCATGCGACATAATTTCAACTGGACTTTTACTTTTGCCGATGTGAAGATACTCATCCTTGAGTATATGAACCCGAGGGATCCTGTCCGACAATACCACGAACCTCCACGTATTAGGAACACCTACACATCAGAGCACCACAGGAATCAGTGTCGCAACATGCCATGGTCGCGAGTACTTGGATTTCCTCAACCAGTTCGTGGACATCACGCAGCCATTCAAAGCCGCTAATCCAGGTGACCACCAAACTGAACACCACGAGCAGACCCCCCTGCCCCGCAACTGAGTATGCATTTTCCAAATTTGAACAAAAAATTTGAAACAGTCCGGATTGGACGAATTATTTTCTTTCGGTTCTTTACAGCCAATTCTAAATTTCGAGCCATCAATTTTTTTTCATAAATCGTCTGGCTTTACACTTCTCCCAAAAGTAAGTGTAAATAAAGACAATCCTAGACTATTATTATAATATTTATTTATAATTATTTACACTTTTATTATTTTGTATTTAATTTAACTAATCATTTTTATTTTTATAGTTTTGTTTGTGAATGTGAACGAGAAATAAACGAAATATTACTCAAATTTTCAAGACCGGATACAACATACATCTAAGACCGACATTACAGAAGAAAGTAATGATCAAAATATGTTAAACTTAAAAGTAAAAATGATTAAGTCAATATCTGGCAGAAAATGTATGGAACAAGGAACAATTTGTCAAAAATAAAACCAAAATAATCTCAAGGGAGGTAACTCATGAATTTGTATTCGGAGGGTTCAGTCACGGCCACTGATAGAGTGGCCATGGTTCAGTACGCTATTTTCTTCCTAAGATTCACTTGAATATGCTTTTTTGTTATACTTTTTAGTTCAAAGCTTTTCGTACATTTTGCATTAAAAATATTTTTTCGAAACGCTTGTTGGCAAAGCTAAGTATGGGATTCAAAATGTATATAAAAATAAATAATTAAAAAATTAACCAAATTTTACTTAATTTTGTGACTCATTGTGAAATTATAATAGTAACACACAAAAACGGTAACAACAGTTTAGAAAGCTCTGCTCTAATATTAAAGAGTATCATTAATGATATCAATTTTGTCAGAACTTTTTTCTTTTTAAAATCCATGAGTAATAGAAATATAAAATGATTGTCAAAAACAATGAAGATAAAACTACAGAATTTTTAAAAATGCAAGACTGCTTTGATCTTTTACTTGGGGAATATTGAAGTGAGCAATCTGATTCTGAAAGCCACATTTAAAGTGAAACAATCAATGATGAAAGAGATTTGCATGTTAAGCATTCAACAAAGCTGTTCTTGTTTCACATTAAAAACTAACTTGTTGAAAACAAAGAAATTTGTGTTTGATCCTTTCACTGTAAGGGCAAATTAGTGTAATGGTTAACAGTTTGGAAAGAGAAATTGGTGAACAGAATCCAAACTCTGGCTGAGTTCATGGAATTCTCTTTCATGCAAATAACCTTGAGAAATATTATTGTGAATCCTCTTCATTAACCTCACTTCATTGGCATCCATTCTACAGACTGATCAATAAAAAAACCCTTGAGTCATTTCTAGATTTCACAGTGTTAAATATTTTATTATTGTTTTTTTTTCTATATTTGTAAAATATAGAATGTTTTAAAAAGGTATAATTGAATAAAATATTTAAAAAATTAAATGATCACATATTGATTATGTACAATAATATTTTAACAATTAACTTTTCTACTTGATAAACAAGTGTTTTTGTCTTTATATGTGTTGTGCTTGAACAGAGAGTCTAATTTTTGTAAATTAAGTTACCAAATATCTTTGTGAGATGGAGACAGATATATTGAAAAGAGAAATTCGTTCTCTGATTTTTATGTCATTTTGGGAACAAAGGGGAGGGGCTTTTCAAACATTTTAAAACCAGATTTGATTAATTTTTTTCTATTCATCTTCATTTTTAATTGCTTTTTTCAGGTTGTCAATCGATGACAACAATCAGACAGCACAGGATAAGAAATAAATCTCTTGTTTCAGGTGTGGGTGGTGCTCTAATCACTGAACTATAATAACTTGATTGCTTTGTTACAAAATCTAACATTGGTCATTGTATCTATCAGTATTAGCAGCAAAAAAAGTCCTTATCCCTATTTTCTTTGCCCTCAATGCAACTTTTAAAAAGGTTTACTGTCAAAAGATTTTTGGACAAAACTTTTCATTGTCCTCTTGTCCAAGATGGCTGTCATAGTGGCCTTCTAGTGGACACAATCTTAACAATAAAAGAGTTACACAGATGACATTGTGTTGATGGCAGGCACTGAAAGAAAACTGTAACAATACCGAAAGAAAGGAAAGTGAGAAGAAAGAACTAATTAATTGTAAGAAGAATGAAGAGTAGCCCAAGATGTAAGCTACAAATTGAAGATGCCAGAATTAAGTAAATATAGAAATTTAAATATCTGGGAAGTGTCTTAACAGATGACAGAAAACATGATACCAAAATCTAAAGGTGTATTGGAAGAAAAGAATGCCAAACTGCTATCTAATATAAATCCTCCTATATAACAAGGGATGCTGGACAATTTCCTCACAGATGAAGAGGATACTTGAAGCAACATAGATGTGATTCTACAGAGATGCTGAGAATACCATTGATGGAGCATGTAAACATTAAAGAAAATGGAAGCAAAAAAGACTCATACTTAGTAGCAGAAAGAGACAGTTGAAATTTTTGGATACATAATTAGAAAAGTGAGCTTGGAGAATTTGACACTCACAAGACATACTGAATGCAAGAGGGTAGAGGGACATGTAAAATAACCTGCTTAAGAAGCTTGGGTAATTGGATAACAGAACAGGGACAGGGAGGGGACAAATAATGCTTAGAGCTACAAAGGAGATGAACTTGTGAAGAACAATGATTGCCCAAATCCATGCTGGGGTGACTGAAAAGTCCTCCAAACTGATTAAATAACAAAACAACTGACCTTGTTTTTAATCCCTTCTTGGTCAAGCTATGAACTTTTCAGCACCCTTGCATTATTAAATGACAAAACATCTGAATATTTTTTTGTGTATGAATGTGTGTAAAAATTCAAATATAAATAAAAATATATCTGTAAAATAACAATGTGAATAAAGACAAAAAGAATTTTTTTTTACCAATGTGTTTCATCCTTTGATGAATTTTATCAAGGTAAATGTAAGGATTTTATTTTGCAACAATTTTTGTATTTATAAACATAAGTAAAATGCTGTTATCAAACTTTTTAATTTTAAGAATGCTTATAAATATTCTTCAGGCAAATTGTGAAAGTCAAGATACACTATGGAGGATGCTAAGTGATATAATTTAATGCTTAATAAATGAAATTGAGTAAATGCTGATATTATTATTGTTCAGTTTTTTTAATGTAATTATTTATTTTATTTTAGCTTGAGAAATTAATTTATGTATTTATGAATAAAGACAGAGTTAGTAGTAAATTCATAATTTAAATTAAATTTACTTTATTTGAATTAAAATGAAATATAGACATTTGTCAGTCAAACAAGTTGTAGAAATAAAAATAAATACAAATCATGAAATAGAATTAATCACACACAAGAAGAAAGCAAGAATTTGATGAAATCATGGAACATTCTTTATTCTGACTTAAATAATGCTTCGTTTACAAATATGTGAGAAAAAGAATTTTTCTTATTCATGAATAAGTGTAGTAAATCTCTTATGTACATAACTGCACAAAGACACAGAAAAAGGTAGACATTTTGTCTTCACTTTTTTCTTTTAATTCAGGTAAAGGCACTAAAAGGTAGATATTTTGTCTTCATTTTTTCTATAAATTCAAGTAAAGGCACTAAAATGGTGAAGAAATATAAAAAGGACCACACATACAAAATAAAATTAATCAGAAAATATTTTAAATGTTAAATATGAAAAAAATGTATACTCTTCATAAACAAATTAATAAATTGCAAGAGATTTTTATTTTTGGTAACATGAAGTCTGCCATTTTGAATGTTAACAATGATAAGTGTGTCTTGCTTGAAATGTCTTGTAATATCTTAGCTAAAATATCTTCATATATATATATATATATATATATATATATATATATATATATACTAAATCATGCACAGGGTTCATATACACAAGCAATTTTAATTAAAAGTATATTATGTAAGTGAAATACACAAGATGTTCAATGAAACCTATTTTCAAAACTTGATAATCTTACAAGTGCTGATGTGACAAAGAAAAATTTGGAAAATTATATAAAATCTTTTAGCTCTAAGAACATTTCTTAGATAATAATCAATTTAACTGGTTATATCAGATGAGCAATTTATTTTCTTTGGCATAAGTTAAAGAAATAGAAATCTGAATCATCCCAATCAGTTTACTCACTTCAGCTGATAAACAGTGCATCAAAGAAAGATCTTTTTTTATCATCCCAAATGTACAAATAGAAAATATGAGTTTTAAACATAATTCATCTTTCTTAAAAAAATATGTTATTGATTTTTTAAATAAGTTTACTTTTCATATTTCAAAAATATTTGTTTTGCATGTATATAGTATAAATATTTTTCTCACCCTGTCATGTATTAACCAATTTTCAATAAAAAAAAAATAATAAAAAAATAGAATTCTTGATTAATTTAAGCAAATACTAATTTTCTAGATATTAAAATAAAGTTTTGAACAGACTTTTTGTCTTTTTTTTACAAAAATAATACAATTCCAAATGTTTGGCAGCTTCATGATATATATATATTTTCACACACACACTAATGAAGACCAAATTAGCTTATTTCTTAAACAATTTTATCTTATGTATTTGCATCAAATTTTTATTAATAGAAATAAATATATATATATATATAGGTAATGAAATATGAAAGTTCATTTTGGTTGAAAAATAAAATAATACGTTGTGATTTTAATTATCATCTAATTACTCTTCAATTAACAGGTCACAATTTTATATTTATAATCCCTTTATATAATCTTAAAAACAAAAGAAACATTGCAAATCCAAATTTTCTTAACACTTAAGTTAAAATTAATCAGATTTATATTTTTTATATTTAAATTCTAATGGTGTTTAAAATTTAAAT